GTGTGTGTGTGTGTGTGTGTGTGTGTGTGNGNGNGNGNGTGNGNGNGNGGGNGGNGGGGGGGGGGGGAAGGAGGGGGCGCTCCTCTCAGTCGTCGAAGAGCGTCTTCATCCCCCGGTTCTCCGTCGACAGCCCATCGATGCCGCTAAATAAATTGTACGCCGGCGCCGCAGCGGACATGAAGCGCATAAGCTTGTCGTCCACCTCACCCGCCGCCTCCACGAAGGGGGACCCGCAGGAGGCGGCAGCGGGCGCGGGCGAGCTGGACATGGCGGTAGTGGACTTGAAGCTGGAGGCAGCTCCCAGCAGCGCCCAGGAGGCGGACTGCGGCGTCAACCCAAAAAGGCCACCGAAGAGGGCAACGTTCGGGAGCGGCAGGTCCGTGCGGATCGGTTCGTATTGGAGGGCCGGAGCCTGCCGGACTTGCTGCGCCACGCGACTGATCCCAACAACCGGTTGCGGCTGCGGCGGCATCTGTCGCTGCAGGGGCTCTTGCGTTGTTGACGGCTGCCGCGCAGGTGAGGTGCTGTTGGTCTCCCTGTTGCGCGTGCTCACCGTCGTCAGCGTGGAGGTGCCACCAACAACCTGTGGACGTCGCATAGAGGCCGTGTTGTTGCTGGTGATACTTGCGCCTAGGCTGGCACTGATGGGGGCGGAAGCGGCGCCACCCTCCTCCAGTGTCCCTGATATCTTCGACTGAATCCCACCGCTGCCGGCCAACATTGTGTTGCTGGTACTATTACTACCACCACCACCTGCTGGGGCTGCCGCCGCAGCAGTCGCCGCCAGTACGTTAGGGCTTGTTGCCGTTCCGGCCTTCCCAGACGCTGCGGCATTGGCTGATGCCATCGTGCCTGCTGCGCCAGCGTGTCTAGGAGTATTGGCATTGGCTGCAGCAGCGGCGTTCGTGGCAGCATTATGGTTAGTGTTAGGAGTATTGGCCGCAGCTGCCACCTGACCTGCGGCAGTTGTAGTGGCTGGTGCGCTCTTCGCTACAGGGCGGCTGCCAAACTTTGCGACGGCCAACTCTAACATTTCCTGTCGCTTCTTATTGCTCTTGGGGTAGCTGCGGAGGGCCTGAATGAATACGGCCTGCAACGTGTGCTGGTCCTCACGGTTAACGAGCTGACCGCCGGAGCTGAGCGCGGCGTTCATGAGATCCACCATGTCGTTCCGTAACTCTTCAGAGACGTCCTCCTTTTTATCACTATGGCCCTTCTTGCCTGCGGCTTTCCCCTGCGCATTGGTGTTGGTGCTGGTGACGGTGGCGACAGCGGCGGCTGTCGGCAGGTTACCACTCGTGAGGTAGTCATAGGCGCCCAGTAGGTAGCCGTCCACAGGCTTCTTAAGTGTCTTGAGAAGCTGCATGAACACCTTCGGGTCCGCCGCCCGCAGCGCCGCGTATGCCAGCAGCTGCCCTACACGTGTGGCCCGGCTAATCGGCGGGTGACGCATCATATGCAGGGCGCACTGCACCGTGTCTACGAGGTAGGAGTTTTCTATGTTGAAGGTAATCTGCTCCTTGTCATCCGCGTCGTCAAGCTTGGCCGCGATGGGGCGACTCTCATTGAGCACCTGCGTGACCGCGTCAAACTGCGACTGTGAGGGGTGTGCAAAGCCCCATCGACAGCGTGGCCCCTCGCACGGCTTGTCCCGCTTGAAGTTGATCTTGCCCTTGATGAAGCTGCAGCACCAAGCGTCAGGGTAACCGTTGAGAGGGCAGTTGTCGCCGCCAATGCACTGCCGGCGCAGCTGGTGCTCGCAGGGGTGACCGAAACTAAATAACTGCAATGACATTGCTAAAAGCACGACAAGCAAAACAAAAAAAAAAGGAAAATAAAATAATTAAGGCAACAAACAAAAGCCCTTTTGCACTGTCCTTCTGTATAGATGGATAAATAAGCAGATAAATAGATCGGTAGTTAGACATGCATGGGTGCGTGGGTGGGTGTGCCGTGCCCGTGTGTACGGCTTCGACGTGGCGGCCTGCCCCTCAGAAGTCATGGCACCTGCCGTTGCCCTCCCAGTCACCGTACCGTGTTGGGTTGAGTTGCGTGCTTCCGAAAGGCACACCCGTTGCCTCGTCGACGACGTTGGACGGCATTGCGTCTGACGCCTTGTTGAACAGCGACTCCGCGCTGCCCACCGAGGTGGTGAAGCGCTGAATCTCCTCCGGCGAGAGCGGTCGTGGCTTCTGAGCGGGGTCCTCCTTGCCGAGAAGTGCGAGGCGGTGTTCCAGATACTTCTTGTCCTTCACCACCGACATGAAGATGTCGCTTTGGACCCCAATCAACAGCGCCGCACCACGCCGCAGCATTCCCACTATGTATCCTTCTCTCTCTCCCTCTATCTCTGTATGTGTGCAGGTTCACGAGCTGATGGATGCGTGCAAAAACGGCAATGGTACGCAACGGAAGTATTGATATGCGGCGCGGGGAGAGAGGAGAAGAAGGCAGAGACGCAACAGCAGCAGAGGCATACTCACACACATGCACACGCAACATCGCGTACAGAAAAACAGACACCAGACCAATCAATATCCACCGTGCGCGACATTCAGGGCACACATGTCACATGAGAACAGCATCAGCAAAAACAGACGTGCTTCTTTTCTTCTTCTTCAGCCTTATTCTCGCGTGATCGGCATGTTATCCCATCACCCGCATTCACGGCGGTAGCGAGGTGCCTTCGCGGAGGGCGTGCGGTACAAGCATCGCCGCGACAAGTTTACCGTCCTTGAGGCCGGCAAGCAGCACAGAGGGGGCAAACACCATGCAGGAAACACCTGAGTGCGACCTCAGCACGGGCGCGAGCTGCAGACGCGCGGCTCGGTGGAGGATATTCTCCTCCACGGCATAGGTGACTGCGGTGGCGTATGGCGTCACCTCCTCCAGGCACGCAGCCTTCATCACCTCGAGAAGGGTGCGGAACCGCAGCAGCAGCGCGTGCCCATCCTCGGTGCCGATGGCAAGAACGTCGTCGTGGCTGCTCACGGCAACACACGAGACGGCGATGTGCGGGGAATCCCCGAGAATGTACAGGTGCGACTTCCACACATCAAACAGCAGCATCCGGCCGTCGACGGCGACACAGAGGACGAGGTCCAGGCCTGTCAGGCGCACCGCGTACTCCGGCACGAACGGCAGCTCGCGGCGCGCTACCAATGTCCCTCCCTCCAGCAGAAGATCAACCACAAGAATTACCCCAACGACGCGGCGGGCTCGATCATTTGTGCATCGCTTGTGCGAGTTTCCGCCGCTGCTGCGCCGTCCCTTCGTTGCCTTCCCCACCAGGCTCTCTTCCTTAGCGTACTCAAAGCCGGCCACCAGGAGCAGCGACTGCTGGTTCTCAAAAAAGAGCGCGGCCTTTACCCCTTCAGGCGGAAGCAGGCGGTGCACAAAGAGTGGCACGTCCGACGGGGTGCTGAGGTCAAAACGCCACCCCGCCACAGTTCCATCTGCCAGGCCCGCCGCAAACATGTACCCGTTGGGCGAGTAGGCGATGTCCGTCACCACGTGACTGCCATGGCAGAGAAAAGTTGCCACACATTCGGTGGAGGTGAAGGAGTACAAGTCCACGCACCCATCGTTGTGGCGCGTGAGGAAGAAGGGGAGGTGTGGGTGGGACGCGACCTGCGCGTGAGCGGCGTGTGAGAGACGGGGCCGCTGCACCGGCACGTGCGCACTCCGCGGGGTTACCGTCCCAGCGCCCCGCTCCCCGCTCAGCCCGGCCGACAGAGCCGCCGTCACAATGTTGCGACCCGGCTTGTCCCGCAGAAACGCGGCCTCGTTGTCGCCTGCCAGTATTTCGCGGTAGTTGTGGCCCACCTCGGCGCCGGCGTCGGTGCCCCAGACTAGGCTGTCGCAGCTGAAGCGGTCGTAGTCGACAGAGCAGATGGAGCAGTAGGACTGGTGCAGCACCAACCGGTCTGTTGTGGTGATCTCAGCCAAACCGCCGCAAAGGCCCGCCTCCAGCATAAACTCGCGGAAGCTCGCGTGTGTGAGAGAGCGCCGCAGCCATGCCACCTCCATGCTCCGCAGCGTCGCCACAGCGCCGTCACTCAACTGGTCATAGAGAATATGAGCCGTGGCGTGTGCGTGCGTTGCCTCCCGCAGTAGCCGCACGACATTGTCGGTGTCGGCGGATATTTTCGCGGTGGTGCGAGGAAGCTGCCAGAAGAACTCTGAGCGGGCCACGCAGATATCCAGTGAGACAGTCTGCAGTGGCAGCGGTAAATCAGTGTCGTCAGAGTCCGCGAGCAGGTTGTTCTCAAGCAGCTCCGCCACCCGCAGCAGCTCCTGCTCCTCTTCAATGAAGATGCCGTTGGAGTTCGTGAGGATGCTGTCGTCGAGGTGCCGCACCGCCACCACATGGCCAATCAGCTGTGACGCGGCCGCGTTGAACGCCAAGGTGGTACGGCAGAGCAGACAGCCGAGCAGCCACAGGAGGAGTTGGGCGTACTGTGGCGGCCGCGAGAAGTTCGCCAAGACGTCGCGTATGCGATGTACCTCCTCCCGCAGTTCACCTAGTGCACACAGCTGCAGGAAGGCGGCACCCCAGAGGAGCAGCAACGCGCGGAGCTTCTCCTCGTGTAGTTTAGCCTGAAGTACAGCGTCACTGTCACTCTCCGTGTGCAATAATACCTCAATTGCTGAGGGGGTTGCGGCCGCCTCCGTCTCATCTTGTTTTGGTCGCTCCGATGCCATGACCCGTACGCGGCTGAGGACTGCCTGCAGCCCACGCACGTACAACAGGACAGAATCCAGCGTCGCTGTCTCCGCGTGTTGCTCGTTGAGGACCCCCCCCACCGTTGGGAACCCTAGCAGGGCAGTCGTCAGTGCGTAGTCGGTATTCTGCAGCGCCACAAACAACAATACCAGGCGCACAGCGACGATGACGAGGCGCGCAGCCACACTACCCAGCACAGGTACCGAGAACAGCTTCCCAGAGGACGGCTCGACACGCGACTTCCGCGACGCCAGCAGTGCCTCCAAGAAACCCGCCAGGCGATCTTCCACTATGGTTACGGGTGCACGCCTGACGGCATCCACCACCATGCGGGCAGTGCAGACGACAAGCGCATGCAGAGCCCCCCTGCCGCTGTCACTAGGCTCCGTCCATGTGTCCACTGCGACTGTGCCGCAAAGCCTTTGCTCGGTCCACTGCAGCTCCTTCTCCAGTGCCACAGCCGCGACAAGGTCAAGCTGGCCTGCCGCCGCCTCGTCGCTGGCAGACGACGTACAACCGACTTGTACAATGTCGGCAGAAGTTAGCGACGAGAAGGCGGCGGGAATGTTACTTTCGCCCCCGGCTCCCTGCGCGTCATCATCGTCGTCGTCCATGTCGAAGCCGCGGAATGTCAGCGTGCCGGTGTTGAAATCGGCCTTGGTGCGTGCGGCGACGGTTCTTCGAGCCGCTGCCTGTATAGTCTCCTCCTCCTTTGCACTTCGCACCTGCGCCAGCAGCGTCTGCGCCTCGCGACAGCCCATTATGGCCAGAAGCTGCATCCCCGTCGCGTGTGAAAGATGCGTCAGATGCATCTGCAAAAGCAGCTCCCGCAGAGGAGCGAGAGACTCGCTCCGCACGCGTCGTCGCTCGTCCCGAAGCAGGCCCAAGATTTCAGCAGCCTCCATGACACACTGCGGGATATGGCACGCGAGCCGCAGACGCGCCTCTCGAGGCTGTCCGCAGCGCCAGAGCAGACACGCCTCTTCCCAGACATTCATCGGCCCACACGTCGCCTCCTCGCGGCGGCGCTGCTCCATGAACCAAAGCAAGTCATCCAAATCGTCACTACTGGCCAGACGCAAAACCAACAGGGCAAGCGCAATGCTGCCTTGGCGCTGCAGCAGAACTTGGGCCGCATTCCGGGGTTCCCCGGCAAGAAGAAAAAAGGCGGCGCCGTATGACACCATATTCTTGCTCACGGCTGCGAACGCATTGCTAGAGGCAGCTGCCTTATTCTTTGCCTCGTTGAAGTTGCGCAAAAAGAAGGCGTGCAGCTTCGCGTTTTGCTCCGCCTTACATAAAGCCGCAAGCACGCCAACCTTCCCGGCGAGGACGTACATGAGGGCGCACTCGCGCACGTCCTTTGTTGCCTGGTACTGACCCCGTGCCACCCGCTCCGCCAGGGACCGCAGCCCCGGCAGCGACTTCATCCAAAACGGCACGCCAGCCGCCTCCACCTCGGCCCACGACACGGCACCCCCTTTGCCCAGAAGCTCATCCAGCAGCTGCGGCTGCGCATCGGAGAGCGCCGCCCAGAGAAATGCGTTGTGCGGGTTAAGGAGGATGCTCGCTAGAGTCTCACGCACGCCAAGGCGTCGACAAAGTTGATGTAGCTTGTGTATAAAAAAAAACCTTGACGCCTCGGCGTCCATGCCAACTGTCGACAAAATCACTGCCCGCATGGCATCCACAACGCAGACAAGACCCAACTGCTCCTGGCTGCTAAGTCCACTAAGCCGCACCAGGGAAAGCTGCTCCATTACCTCCTCGAGCATGTCCGCAGGGAATTCGCTGCCCAGCGAAGTGTTATCCGCACCCCTTTCGTCTTGCTCCAGGAGACGCCGCGTCTGTGCGCCACGGTCAAGTGAGGCAGCGACGGTGGTGGCAAGAATGGCGGTATCCACGTCCTCGTGCGCTACGGAAGACTGCTCACAGAGCCGGATGCTCACTGGATTGTGGCAAAACTCCCGCGCCAATATGCGGGGGTCGTTGGTGTCTTCTGCGGCAGCGACTACCTCATCCGCCGCCCTCGCACGGGCCAGCTGGAGCACGTCTTCCAGTACAGACTTCACCATCCGCCACCGCCCCATGCCCAGAAGCGCCAGGAGTGTCGTGGGGTTATACACCTCCACCACCGCTTCACAGCTGAAGTTGCCGGGGCGCGGTTGCAGGGAAGTCTCCAGGGGTGTGGACTCGGGGCTCCAGGCGTGAATAAAGGCACCCTCGACGGAAGAAAACAGCAGGTGCGCCACCTGAGTGTTCCCACCGCTGCTGGAACCCGCGTCCCCCACCCAGACTGGAGCCATCGCCGTAATATCGCCCTGCCAGCCGGCCTGCCCCAGCACTGGAGCCGCCCCCCAGTGGCACCCGTCCTCCCCACCCGTCATGGCCCGCACCCACCGCTCGATCGTGCCGCGGCGGTGGCGGCGCAACGTAAAAGCTTCGGCGTCGTAGCTTAGCGCAAACGACACCACATCGTCAACCTGCAGCTCCACGACAAACACCGGTGGCACCGCGACGTTGCGGAGCAGATCCAGTCCGTAGAGCCATAGCACCCGTTTCGCCTCCGCGTCATAGAGTGTGCCCATCACACCCACAACAATGCACTCATTTGCGAGCCGAATCGCCTTGGCCTCCTCTACGCAATAGCGTGTCACGGATGCAAACGGCTGAAAAGACAAGGGAGGGTCATCCGGCAGCGATGTGGCTCGTACAGTGATGCGGTTGATACCCTCCACCCACTCACACTTCACCGCACTCTTGTCGGAGTGGCAACATCCTTCAACGGGGGCGGCCGTCAGCAACTGCAGCGGCGCCGTAGCAGGGACTCGCGCCGTGGGCACACGTAGTTCGCCTTGCGCCGCCGCAAAGCTCTCGAGAAGGGCTCCAGGAATGCACCACCACGCCTCCTTGTTGTTTATTGCATGCCGCGTGGAGCAGCAGAAACCCTCCACAGTGGTCTGCACTTGCTGCAGACCAAACCCCGCCTGCAACGACAAATAGGAGCAGGCGGAGGCGGAGGCGGGGAGCAAACTCCCGCGTGCGTCTAAGGCGCTGCCAGGATCACTGCTTTCATAATTCTTGGTGTGAGGCGCAACTGGTGGCTCGAGTGGGCCGTACCTCGCCGTCAGTTGGGTTAACAGCCGTCCAGCATCCCCACCACACGCTTTCAAAAGCGATGGAACCATGCACACCTTTTCGGGACACTTCGCCTCCATAAAAAGTTTCACCGCCGCTTCCTTGACGTCCCCCGTGTCTCCCGCAGCGGCGACCACAGCCGCGGGAGTCGTGGCGGCACACGTCTGCGACGCCTGCATGCGTTGGCGAAGCTCCACAGGAATTGGTGACACCGCCAGAAGCGTGGCCTCGACAACGCCGTGATTTCGCGTCGCCTGCTCAATGACAAACGCGCGCTCGTGCGAGAGGCCCAGCAACAACACCTCCCCATCGGCGCCCCGCGAGGTTGAGAGCTGCAGCGGCAGCGGGTCCACACCAAGCGTCAAAAATGCCTCTACACGCACCACTCTCGTTATCAGGTCTAGCATCACTTTCGCCACCATGCCGTTGGCGAAGTGTGCCACCAGGCGATACCTCCGTGCCCGCAAGAGCTGCTCGGCCTGCGGCGTTAAGGCGCCAATATCAACCGCACGAGATTTCCAGATGGGCAGCGCCTCCACCCGAACGATGTCACCGTACTTGTCTTGTAGCGGAAGCAACAGTTTGGTGGCCCTCTGCCCGGCGGAGCGCTGCTTCGGAAGCCCCCCCTGCTTCTGTTGACCAAACCGGTAACACACGGTGCGCACCGTGCCGTCCGCATCGAAGCAAAGGAATTCCAGCTTGTTACTAAGTGAGGTTGTGTCGCGGGAGCGTGAAAAGCTTGGCACCAGCTGCGGGCGCAGCGACGACGACATCGCACGAAGAGATACCGTCCCAGACAGTACAAGCTGAAGTGTGTGATCGCTTGTTCTGCGCTTCGTAGAGTAGTCGGCGGGGGCGATGGCCTCCGCGACTTTGCCCCGCGTTGCTGCGCCCACGTCCGGTATAAACTGCACGCTAAAAAGAGCAACGGAAAGCTGCCCGTCGTGCGGGTCCTGACAGGTGACGCAGAGAATGGTGTGGCTGGCGATGTGGTGCCATTCGATCGTGGTGACTTTGCAGAGCCCCAGCCTCGCCGACACCCCGCGCAGTGCAAACTTATCGCTCTGTACAGCATCCTTCGAGGTGAGGGAGGCCGTCCGACGCGAAGGGGAGTAGAGGAGGCTCGGCTCCTTCTCCTCCGGCGGCGGCGATGGTGGCGAAACGCCCCCATAGCGCGGACGCCCTTTCAGCGGAAACACCTCCACCGCAGAGGCGTGGAGCGCAAACGCCAGATGCATGTTCGTGCGGCACACCGCCAGTGCGCTGTAGGAGCCCCACATGCGCCACTTCACCGTGTCACCGTCCGCGCCGAGGTCGACAACCACCGCCCCGTCACTGAAGACTATGGCAAGGGTGGAAAGTGCAATAAACTCCGCGTCCACCGCCTCACGCACCTCTTCATGGCCCACAGATGCGTCCCATCCGGTGAGCCACCGCGGCGCCGCAAAGAAATCTGGTGCCCCCTGCAGCGGAGCTGACACTGCGGAAGAATAAAGAGAGTACGCACCCAGCCCCGCCGCAGCGGCGCCAAGGTGGTTGCCATTCGGGACCTGTCTGTACTTCAGCCGCATTTCGCCCTCGCAGACGTCCACAACGGTCACACCCCTCGCCCCCACCACAGCTACACGCATGTCGTCGCTGAAGTGGCAGAAGCGAAGCTGGCGCAAAGTCGTGTCCCCTGCAGCATCTCCCCTTCCCGCCGGTCTCGCTTTTTGATCGTCAAAAAGTGGCCCAGATGCAAAAAGCGTCCCCTCCCTCAAAAAAAGAAGCCGATCCGCCGAGGCCATCGCCACTCGCAGCTCTCCGCTTGTATTAAACGCGCAGGCGAGGTGGCTGCAGCGCTGCGGGAAAAAAACGTCCCTAGAATGCATATGTGTCGCGCCGTACATGCACGAACGTACGTAATAATATAAACAAATAGCTATCTATATATGTAGGTTTATAATTGTGGATATGGGTGTTTTTAATGCGGTCCCTGCACTCTACAAAATTACAGTAGGAAAGGGCAAGGAGTTAGAGGGAGGGGAAGGGAATGCGACCAGGACGAACGCAACGGAGTCACCGGCGCGCCTCTTGTATGCTCCCTGCCCAGTCACTAACAACAATGCAAGCAAGGCAAAGGTTAGGGAGAGTGAGAAAAGGTGCAGGGACTGCGCACAGCATACGCGCATGACACAAAGATGCAAAAAATAATAATAATGATAACGAATACATCCACGCGTCGAGTGGCCTGCGGTCCTCACTGATAGAACTATGGCCGCTACGTCCGACTTCAGCAGGTAACCGCCATGACACCAACGCCAGAGACCCACGTCTCCCACCGCTCTGCCGCCGCGTCATCCACAGCAATGCCCAACACACATGCCTGTGCTAGCAGTAATCGACCTACCCCACACTCGCGCGCCACGCAATACACGGCCGCGTCCTCTTCAAGCTGTATCCACACCGAATGTCCCTCTCCCTTTTCAAAGGTCCGCTTTATCGTTGGCGACACCGGTGGCGGAAGTTGTTGCCGACGTCGCCTACGAAAGACATCCAAATTTTTCCCAAGTGGTGTATCGTACTGATACTCCGTTACAAAGTAATCAATGTAGTCATCTGCACAGCGGAACTCATTTAGGAGAGTAAAGGTTACCTGTCGCCGCAGACGCAGGCTGGCATCCTCTGCCGTGACGGTGATGGAGCCGAGTGAAGCAAGACTAATTGCAGCCGTTGGCACGGCAGTAGCATTTGTGTACGCCACTGAGGCAGTGGGAATACGCACGACAAGACCACCCTCGTGAAACAGCAGACCAGGCTCTTTAGCTATGCCCAGCGGTGTCCATGCAGCGGCAGTAGCGATGGACACACGAAACGTACGCTGCAACCACGTACATTGGGTTTGCCAGGGATGGGGGTCGTCGCTGACATCCAGCCCCGATTTGAAGGCTGGGGTTAGCAGCACCACACAGCTGTCACTTCCCGCCCGCGGCTCCGTCACCCACGCTACCACCCCGTCCAGCTCACTTGTGTCCTTCGAAAGGGCGTAAAATTCGCTACGCGGGGTTACCCAACAGGGTGTTGACGGTAGCGCCAGTTCCGGCATCGCGGGGTTCACGCGCATCAACAGTTCACTGCGCCACCCACCGCGTTTGACATGCCGCGCCCAAGCTCGTGCCACCGCGTGAGGATTCAGAAGCGACACACCAGGAGAGAGGGGCAGAAGCGCCACGACGACGGCAGTAGTGTCGCCCCCCACAGCAAGACGCAGGTTCTCTGAGACCAGGCCCAGCTCCGCCTGCACCATCCCAAGTGTCCGGTCCACGCGCTCACACAGCGTCGGATTCCACCGAAGAGCACCAACGGCCTGTTGAGTGACGTGCACCACAGCGCGACCCCGCGCCGTGTAGACCGCAGTAGGGCCACAGCCATCTGCGGCATCCTCGGGCACCGCCGCCTTCAAAATCCGCATGTGGCGTCCCCGCAAATCCGCTGCAATCGTATTGGCCACCTCCTCCATCGCACCGCGCACCGTATCCGCCACCCACAAGACCACACACACGAACAGGGTGTACTGGTCAAGCAGCGCCGCCAGCGACGCGTGCGAAGCAGCTCCTTCCGGCTTTTCAAGTTTCCAGACAACACAAACCGGGGCTTGTACAGAACCCGCTGCGTCAGAGACGCATGCAATCAACCGCTGCTGCAACGCTTTTTGAAGGACGCTCTCGTCATGCTCTGCGGCACGTGGGATGAAGTACTCCGCGACATAGAGAGAATCCCCGGAGACGTCAAGCCGCTCAAAATGCACCAGGTTCAGCGAGGAACCTGCAAAAACGTCGTGGTGTACCCGAGCCGTCCAGCCTGGTGGAGCAAGCAGGGCTCGACAAGAGAGGCCCTCAACCTCGCGCTCCACGACATGCATATTTGACAATATTGGTTATTTCTTTGTTTATTTTGTTGTTCGTCTTATTTGCTAGCCAACCTCCAGGCGCCGCTCGCCTTTTACTTTCTTCGGCTCCTCCACTAAGTCGTAATTCGGAAAAACGAGACAGCGCACAGTGCAAGAAAAGGGAGTCCCGCCTTGAATAAGGCCAGTGCGAAGGCACAGCCTACCCCGTTCGTGCCCGTTTGCCCTTCTCTACCACGAAAAGTCCAGAAAGTTAGAAGGAAAGTCCTTCTGCTGCAAATGGCAGATGCAGAAAGAAGCGTACAGACACACACACACACAGCATACCTACACTGGATTCGTGGGCATCTCCCCTCCATGCATAAAGACCGAATAAAGGCATCTACTCCACTCTTTGTTTCTCTCTCTCTCTCTGCCTCACTGTGTGCTTATGTGCGCATGGGCGTGAGTGAGGGGGGATTGGTACATGGTTGGCACATCAGCAAAACAAAAGACACATGTACAGGGAGAAGGAGAAATAAAACAACAACATCCATGAATAACCTGGCAGCAGTATACCTTGCTTACACCAAGGAAGAATACGCTTCTGAAAAGTTTTTGCCCAATCTAATAAAAAAAAAAAAAGTAGCAACACAACAGCTTATACAGGCTGACTAACGGACCAACGGCCGGTATAGCTTGAGGAGAAAGAAGCAAAACGTGTAGATGGATTACAAACCACATACCCGCACGTTGCCTACGAATGGGGAAGCTTCCGTTGGGCCCCGCCTTCCAAAGGCCTAGGATCCCGCAACGAGGTGGAGCCAACAGCGGGAGTGGGTGAGACAACAAAACGAAAAAAATGGCGACATTTCTTTGCGGCTGAAGCACAGTCCTACGCATACTCCACTGCGACGGAATCCAGGAAATGGCAAACGTGGAGGCAATTCGCATAGTAAAAAAATTTGGCAAACCCACACGCTCCGCATTCCTTTCGCACGCCTCTCAAAACAAGACAAAAAAAAAAACGTTGAACATCATCGTGCTTGCCCACTTCCGCGTTAGTTTTTGTGAAACCCCAACCGGAGTCGGTTCAAAATGCGGGAAAGGACAGTGTTGTTGCCTTTAAGTTGCCGCTCTTCATCGCTCTTCTTGCGTAGTTCTCGTCGAAGAACCCGTAGCTTCTCTTCCAGCAGGGCACGGTTGTAAGCAGTGGTACACTCAATGTGGTCATTCTCATGGCCTGAGCCGCGGTTGTACCGAATCTCTAAATACTTGGACTTTGTTGGGGTGACAACAACCTCTTCAATGTCCATGATGGGTTTCTCCTCATTCACCTGGGCAGCCCCTGAGCCATCCACGTTCGGCCGCACTGTGTACAGCCGTTCCCCGTCAATGCAGAGAATGCGCTGTTGCCGTGCACCATATCGATTGATGCGAATCACATCAAATTGCTGAAATGTCTGCGCTTCTTCTGCGTCCATGTTAATAACAATGTCCTCCGCTACCAAAGAAAGTTCGGAGTTCTCGTCGGGAATTCGCCCTTGCAGGAGCACCTCCTTCACCCCAAAGCGGTAGAGGGACAAAATAGTCCGTTCAGCTATAGGCACATCCATGTTACCGCAGCCTGACCCAAAATTGTAGTACTCGTTGATGTTCAGCTCCACCGGCCCATATTTGATGCGCAGCGAGCCCTGCACCAGCCCACTCCCTGGAAGCCGACTGACAATCGCCTGTTCTAGACTCTCCGCAAGCATGTCCGAAGGTACAAGCACCTGCCTTTTGATGGTTTTGGCCTGTGAGTCTAAAGGGCGTATTTCCACTGCCAAGTTAATATCCTCCGCCACAGTCGGCAGCAGCTGTGTTCGTTGTGGAAACAAAAACAGCTTCGCCGCCGGAAGTGGTTGAACCGCAAAACAAGTAAAATTTTGAGCCGCCCCATCCAACTGAATCACCATCTCCTCCTCACCCGTGAAATCGTCTGCTATGTATAATTTATAAAGACGAGGATTTGATGAATATCGGGCTGACAAACGATCATCCGACACAACCATTTGCTGGAGAAATGCATTCACAACATCCACCCCACGAAATGGAACCTGACGTGGCTGAACTGTACACACAGTTCGCTTTCCTTGAACATTCGTAAACGTACTGAACACACGAACCTCCGACCCCTTTGGAACTTCAGCGTCACACTTTGGCTGAGAGATACTGCTCCCAGCTAGGGTAAACGGGCTTTCTGCCAACGCCTCCTCCACACGCTGCCGCCATTGCTGACTGAGCTCCTGCCTTGTCAGGGTAACAACCTTCCCCACAGGGCCAGGTGAACTGGGGTCAGCAAAGGCAACAAGTACAGGCTTCAAGGTTTCCTTCCTCCCGGAAGGAGGACCCACGTACGATTTCATGCGGTCATCGCGTTGTAGATCCGCGTCCGCGTCAACCCCCGCGAGATCTACGGTCCAGCGAATCATCAGATTCTCACACCGGTGTATCCCCCCTTGAATCTGACTGGCACCTACAATCACGAGGCAAATGGGACAGCCACGACGGAAAAGAAGAAAGAATCTGTAATCTGCGGAAGCGGGAAAAATGCTCGCAAGCAAAAATAATAATAATAATAATATTTTTCTTCCCCATAATACTTTTTCGTCGTTTTTGTCCTCATGGTTCTCCTAGCACCTCTCACAGCTTGTATCTCCCCCTCCGCGTCACCGACTGCACACACTTTCTGCTCCGCGTCGACCAACTTCAGTAAAGCAACACTATTAACGTCAGCCTCTCCCGTCATTGTTAGGTCAACGGCGTATTCTTCTTCTATACCCCTCCCTTCCATTCGCCCTCATTCTCGCTCTATCCCTTTGGGCATTGCTTCCTTCCTCACAATTCACACACAGATCATTCGGAACACATCCAAAGCTTCAACATAAAAGCCAAGAGCCAAGAAGAAGTTGCTGCATACGGCCATAAACTCTCGCCCCCTGATTTATGCTTGCTTTTCAGTTTCCCCGGTCCGCTCAAACCACGCAATCACTATCTCCGAGGCTTCAACATTACAATGAATCTAGAAAAGGCACAATACGTTTCCCTCCTCCCTCCGCTCGTTCACTCACTCTCCCCTTCAAATATCACAGTCTTGTTCATCCCCACTGCTGTGCCCACCACACAAGGCGTCTCCTTCCCC